TAATTACTCTTGCCTTTACTTCTCCTTCACATCTCCTATTCATGATTCAAGGACTTTCTTTTCCCCTTAGAAATAAGAGTTATGCAATTTGGGAGTCTTTAAGATAGACCCACTGAAGGGAATTGCTTCAACCTGCGTCCCTGTTCAGCATGGTAGAAGCCAGAGTGGTCTGTTTCCCAATTCCCTATTGGCAATTTGGGTAACCTCTTCAGAGGTGGCGTGATAAGAATAGGAGGTAGGAATTGGCTAGGCAGTTAGGGTAAAAAGACCCCAAAGAAATGTAGCCAGTTTCTTGGCTAAAAGTCCAAATGTCCTCGGGCCTCTTAGCAACATACTCTGTTCCAAAAGCCAAAAATGTCGAAAGTATTTGGGAGCTTGTATCTAATCCTCAAAAAGAGTTTAGGGTTACGTCTTCAGAGAGGGGAATGTCAGGGTAGCCAAAAGCCCCATAAAATCAATCAATCAATCAAAGAAAGAGTACATGAAGTTATCAGAAAAAAGTGATGGGGTGATATGGGAGGAGTTGGAGGGGAGGGAGTGGGCATGGATTTGATCAAAACACCTTATATGCATATATGAAATTCTCAATAAATATTAAAAAAAAATTTCTTCCCCCTCCTCTCCTCCACCTCCTCTTCGTGTGTGTGTGTGTGTGTGTGTGCATGAGTGTAAGTTATAGGGTCTCACTCTGTAGCCCTGAAATTTTCTATGTAGCCCAAGTTGATCTCAAGCTTATGACAATCCTCTTGTCTCAAAAGTTCCAAGTGTTGAGATTACAGGCTTGAGGCAACATGCTTAGATATCAAAACATTTATCAGGCTACTATGTGCCAGTTAGAAAGCACAGTTGAAAAGACAAAATGAGTAAGATGCTTTACTCTCAAATATAAGCCAATCATGGCAGAAAATGTACTATAAAAAAATTAGCTGCCTCACTGTGATAGGCACCAACCAACAAACCAACATAAACAGTAGACTGAGGTTGGCAGAGTGCAGCTGACGCTGCACACACATAACAGACTGCTATGTATTGGGAAATTTTTCTAAGAGTGCTGTTTTCTGAAGACTTAGAAAAGGAAAAGAGAAATTAAAGAAGTAAATAAAAACAGAACAGAAACAATCAACAGAAAGAGGTTCTAAATAAGAGAGGATAGAATGAATGGTCTTGAAACAAAGTATCAATTCTGAGGCAGTAAAGAAAAACGAGAGATGACACAATTAAGTACATATAGATTATAAATCTGAAAACAAAAATTAAAGGAGCAAGTACTTAAATCTGAACGGAGACTCCACCAACTTTCATCTTCCAGATGTACTTTTACTCCTCAAAACCCCAAACTCTTCTTTGTAACCCCACACAAAAGCCCTATCAGCTTATGCTGCCTTGTTTTTACTCAGGATTCCTTTCACTTAAGATTTTCCTCTTCATCTAACTCTACATTACTATATTTTAGTTGTAATTCATATACCTCTTCCAAGAATCAACCACTCAATCTTTTCTTTTGTATACTTCCCTGTAACTTAACTTTTTGTAATTCTCTAAAATCATCTGTTTTCTAAAGGAATTTAAAAAATTATATGAAAAAACTTTTGAAAAGTAAAAATTACTTCATAACATATAATACAGAAGCCACTAGTCATGTTCTACTCTAGATTTTTTAAATACATGAACATGTGATAGAAGTCACGATGGTACCACCGCAAGCATGCAATCATCATATATATTTTTTTTCGGTCTTTTTGAGACAGGGTCTCCCTGTAGCCCCAGCTGTCCTGGAACTCAGTATGTAGACCAGGCTGGCCTTGAACTCACAGAGATCCGCCTGCCTCTGCCTCCCGAGTGCTGGGATTAAAGGTGTGCGCCACCATGTCTGGCAATCATAGTTATTTGTAAATGAAAAAACAAAACACCTAGTATAAATTAAATGCATTCATTAATTATTTACTTTTGAAAAGAACCACCTAAAGACCTTGAAACGTATGTCAGATGAAATATTTAATAGGGTAGCACTGTAAAGTCTAAAACTTCTCTAAAGCAGCTTAGGGAAAACAAAAAGATAAGAAAAAAAAAATTCACCGGTAAGATGCTAATGGTATGTTGAATTCATTTTCAGGCGAGGCAATTCCCAATAAAGTATCTCCTTCAAAAACAGAAATTGGAATTGAAAAATGATTTCTAATCTGGAGGAAAAAACAAACAAACCATATTTAATATTATTAATCTAAGAATTTAATGACATTTAAAAATATGTACAGCTATATATCCTTGTTTAACAAAGAAACTATCAGGCAATTTTCAACTTGTTCATAGAAATTAGAAGAAACAAACATACAATTATTTCTCCTTAAAAACACATTGAAAGTTTCCACAGTTTTATAGAAAAGGAACATCAAAAGTACAACTTTAATCAGTCAATATTCCAGTATGGATAGGAGAGGGGCCCACAAGGGACCACTCCCAGGTGAAGAGTTACAGGCAGCTCTTAGCTGCTAGGGGAGGGAAGTCAGTTTTCTTCAGGGATGTGGTTCCATGTAGGCTGCCCTTCCTCCAGAGGATAGCCCCACACTCATGAACATGTGGGTATCACTGACTGAACTCATTGTATTATGATAAAAGAAGACATGAAGTTGAGGGATGGGAGGGGTTGGGGTAGCATTTGGAGAGGGAAAATGGGAATGAATATGATCAAAATACAGTGTATATAGATATGAAATTCTCAAAGAATGAATTTAAAATATATGAGTAATAATAATCTTGGCTCAAGAATACAGGTATGTTTATATTTTAGAAAAATTTCCTATGAACAAAACCCAAATTTACTAAAACAAGTGATTAGGTGCAAAACAAAAAACAAACAAACAAAAACCTTCATGAGAGAAGGGAACCCAAGGTGCATAACAGGGAAGGGAGGGAAAGTGGAGCGGATGGAGGATTATAATACTCAGAGTGCCACTTTATACATATATCAAACTGTCAGAGAACTCATAAGTTATAAATACACAAAAACACAACTTTAATCATCTTAGTGGGAAATAAGATTTTTGGGATAGGGAAAATTTGTTCTGATACACATGTTTGTTTAGATTCAAACAGTAGAAGCCAGGGTCAGTGGCACATATCTGTAACCCTAGCATTTGGAAAGCAGAGACAGGAGGATCAGGAGTTCTAGGTCATCATCAACTATATAGTGAGTTCAAGACCAGCTTGGTTTATATGAGACCCTGTCTTAAAAATATTCAAGTTTTCCTAAATGGTCATGTTGTTAAACTGCCTCCTAAATATCTATGTTTTTATCTACAGGTTAGTGCTGCTCTCAACTTTGGGCAGAGAAGGTCTTACTATAGTGGGCAGTAGTTAATGCAGAGACTTGTAGTTGTTCAAATGGCTATGAATAAGCAAATGTGAATGTTCAACTGTAGATTTAAGCTGACCATGAATTCACAGAAACTGTGGTTCCCTTCAAAAGACCAAGCAAGCTAAAAATTCAAGCATGGAGGAGAAAGGGTTCCCAAGGCACCACCTCAGGTTGAGGAGCAATTGGCAGTTGACAGATGGATGCTGAGGGGAAGAGTAACTTAGCAGGGGGTCACCACTGGCAGGTTCAACAGCTGATAACCTTACAGCCATGGACTTATGGGCAGCACTAATTGGCCTTCATTTTTTTTTGGGGGGGGGGGTTGAAATGAAAAGGGAAAAGTATTGGAGAGAAGGCCAGGGGGAGTTGGAGTGAGTGGAGAATGGATATAATTAAAATACATTATATATACACATATATGAAAGTTTCAAAGAACAAAAAATACAAGTATGTAAGTTTTAAACATTTATATGACAAAAGCAAGAAATATGTCAATCTGGGAAATGTCAGTGACAGTCAAAATAATATTTATGATAGTATACACACAAAAAATCTTGAAAATCATTAATAAAGAAGAAACTGGAAACAGTGTAAGGTAATTCAGAGGGAAAAAACTAAACTGAGAGTGAGTGAGTGAAAGAGAGAGAGAGAAAGAGAGAGAGAGAGAGAGACTGACTCAATGTTCCTAGAAATCAAGGAAATACAAATTATAATCATAGGCTTCCTTCTCATATCAACAAAACTGGTAAAAACTCAGAAGTCTTGAGAATAAACAGTTAAAATTTATGTGACTAGTACATGAGATAGCTCAATGGTAAGGTGCTTGTCTTCCAAAAATGAGGTCATGAGCTCAATTACAAACATACCACATATATGTGTGTATATATAATAGGACCGCTCATAGACTGCCAACAAAGAAGCTGGCAAGAACCTAAAAAAAATGAAGATCTGCCTTCTCTGAGACTGTTTCCAGTTAAATAGCTTGAGAAATAGTTACACACATGTACTGAGAGTCATATTCACTACAATACTCATTAAGGGAGAAGAAGGAAAGAGAAAAAAATTAATTAATAATGGAATCTTAAAACTGGTAATACTGAAGTAACAGAATAGTTTCACAGTTAAAAACCCAACCTGTTTTTAACCTGTTTGAAATCAGCCTAGGCTACACAGTGAGAACCCGTCTCAAACACAAACAGAAAAACAAAAACATGGGAATAGAGATACATATGCCACATAACCAAACTAGTCATACTTCTTCTAGGGAAAAATGTGGACAAGGAAGAAAACAAAGTCATTACTTCATTTGTAACTATTTTCTAATTTGAAGGAAAAATTTAAATGTAAGTATTTTAAGTGTGGATAGAGAGGTCTGTATTATAAATGTCTCAAATTAGGTAATATATCTATGGAATTCTTATCAAATGAGCAATTAACATTCAAAAGATTAAAACAGTAAATATCCTATTTAAAATTTACAATCACGTTTTTCCAAATAAAATTCCAAATAAGTTTTAAGTTCAATGTATTGCTAATGTAAACCGTCTAAGACCTACATGGTTTCTGAAATATAAAGCTAGTTACCAAAGTTTGATTTTATTTCCTTTGTTTTCCCTATCAGATTTAATGTGGGAAAAGCTGACTGGAAGCAGAAGATGACAATGGTGATTTAAAATTGTGAGTGAAGGCTGTATGACTGAAAAAAGTAATGGGGTCAGCCTAAAGAGATGAAAGAGAGACGGTAGGAAGTAAAAAAAAACCAAAAACCAAAAAACAAAACTATGATAAACATCTATTTATAAATAAATGAAAAAATGTTATATATAAACATATAAAACATGTTGCAGCTCTTCTCATTTTGCTGCAAACTAATTGTCATGGCCGTACCTAAATATTGAACAAGAAGAAATATAAAAGAGGAAGGGCTTACTTTATGCCCCATCATAAGGGGAAGGCATACCTGCAAGATCATGAGCTAGCTGCCTCACAGTTTCTGCAGACAGGAAGTGGGGCTAAGGTTGTTATAAGACCTCAAGGCATTTTCTCTCCTGAGGCTATACCTCTTAGAGGCTCACGATCCAAACAATGCCACCAAATGGAGACTAAGTGTTTAAACACATGAACCTAGAGGGTACATTTCACACTCAAACCACTACATGGTCCATGAGGACAAACAATGCGCTCTCTCTCTCTCTCTCTCTCTCTCATCTGTCTGTCTCTCTGTGTCTCTCTCACATCTTCTCATGCCCTTTGCCTAACACTGTGTGTGGATCCTACATCAAGTCACCATCATGGAAGCATTCATCAGACTTCATCAGACACCAGAGCTGGTGCCTTGACCACAGATTACCCATTCTCTACAACTGTGAGACAGGAATTTCTGTTCTTTATAAATTAACAAGAAAAAAGTGCTATAGTTAACACTGAACAATTCCTAAAGTTTATAGCTATTTGTAAGCAATACAATAGAACGAACAATGACATTAAGTGAAACAAGCAAGAAATCCTAATAATTCTACTTACTGTGTGACCCTGGGCAAATTTCATTTTTAATATTTTCCTCTCAAAAGCAAGAAATTCATATTCTAAAACATTAAAAAATATGATAAAACATAATAAATTATAGTAACTACCCATAAAAATCTTTTTGGGAATAATCTCTCAAGTATTTTACTTATCTGTAACATAGAGTATTCTTAAAAAAAAGAAAAGATCAGAAGTTCTGTATTTGCAATTTTATGGTCTTCTTAACTCAATATTTGAACAATGATCCTGTGTCATTAAGAGCTTTAAAAAAACTGTAATGGCTCTGGAGAGTACTTAAGCAATCCTTCACAGGTATGTAGGTTGTGTCTAACTTTTATTGGTACTAAAAATATGAATGTTAACTCTGGAGATCTCAACTGTTTGCTGCAATGAGGGGTGATAAAAAATTATAAACAACATATTTTTAAGTATCTGACTTATTCCAAATAAAGTCTGTTTAAACCATTGCTCAAAAGTGACTTCTACTCATTATATATGCATGTTAAGATAAGGGAATATTATAAACAACTTAGTATCAATACATTTATCAACTTAGATGAAATGGACAAATTTCATGGCAGATTCAGAATTACTACGAGTACTCCCTTAAAAGTAAGAAATGATCACAATAACTAGTATCTTGAATCAGTTAAAACTGTAGTGTAGAGCTTCCCCAAAATACATTAAAACTTTAGATCAAGACCTTTCATAAACACAAAAATTCTAAACACAATTTCAGCAAATGTAACAATATTCTACAAGTTTAATAATTTTATTTTTAATACTTTATCACTTTCATTTTATGAGTATGTGTGTATTGTTTGCACGTATGTAAGTGCACCCATGTCATGCAGTGCTCATGGATGTCAGAAGAGGGTGCTGGATCCCCTGGAACTGGAATTACAGATGGTTGTTAGCTGCCATGTGGGTGCTGGGAACTGAACCCAAGTTTAATAATTTGTAAGATAGAGACTTTTATTAGAAATACAGTTTAATGTTTAAAAATTAATGTTATTAATCATAGTAATAATTTTGTTTATATCCTTTCAATAAACAGAAAACACAGCAAGGAAAAATGCACTAAAATAAACCCATAAAAGGATGAGCTAAAAATGCCTTTATTTACAGACGTGATGGTCTAAATCTACTAGTACAGGAGTTTAGAAAAGTTGCATATAATAAATAAAAGGTTAATATAATAACCTGTATTTCTAAATGTTAGTAATAGGTAATCAGAAATTATAATAAAAAGAGAATATTTTATCAAAAACAGAGAAGACAGAATAGTTAAAAGAATTTAGGATAAGAACAAGATGAGACAATTTTTTACTACCTTAAGACTCAGATTCAGAGAAAAATCCAGGTAGTATGGTGTATAAAACAAACAAATGGATTAATGACACAAAATGGGAAATTCAGGGAAAAAAACACCAACACAGAAGGTCCATGAGGGCAATAAAATGAGAAAAAGGCAACCTGGGCTGCAACAATTGGATGACCAAATAAATGGAAAATCTTGAACCTCAAACTTTATCCTTCTAATATACAAAGATTCTCGCAGACTGCAAACATCTATCTCCAAACACTAGATTTACTTCTCAGAACTTTGTGCAGCTACATGGAACACCACCAATACACAGCAGTTGATATATACAAAATTTTACTGAAAAAGCCAAATTCTATTCTCTATTTTATCCATATAAAATTAAAGACTGCGTAACTAATTATCAGTGAGAGTCGTGGATAAACAGAAATGGGAAAAACGGGGAGGAGGAGACATTTTTTGATTAGTAAATACGCTCGTTACCTTCACTAATGTGAAGGTTCCTAACTGTACCTTTACATCAAAACAACATTATATGCTGTCTACTGTATATATGTCAATAAATCCATAATTTTTCCAATTAAAATTTTTACCATTAAAAAGAATATATACTATAAAGACAAAATACTGATGAG